CTGTTAGAGATAAAAATGGTCTGCAGATGGAGCTGTACCAACTTTGAAGTTCTCCAGAGAGGACTTTCAATAAAGGGTGGTACTTCTGGAAAGACATTTCTGTTTGCTGGTTGCCTCTCCTCATTTGGTAGGTAATTGGACAAGAGACAGGAGGTGATATTAGGATCATGTGGGGAGAGGCACCTTCAGTCATTCTGGTGCAAGGGGAAGTTTTATATTATTGAGGGGGCATGCCCCACATGCCAGTCCCCTGTTTTTAGATTTCTCATCTCTGAAGTGTTCTCTCCATCTATGATTACCATGGTGGGCTGCTCACAGTTTTCTTCAGCTCAGCCTCATCTTCTAGATGCCTTCCTTGCTTTCCTCCATAATGCCTTATTGGCGGCCCTTACATGGTCCATGGACTTTTGTCAACTAAGGCTTAGTATCTTGGGGGAACAGGTTTGCTTTCCCCAGTTTCATAATGTGGATGAAGCATCTGCAGGAACTGAGCAGAGCATCTCCTAGAAAGCTCTACTTTAGAATTAGTATTATAGGAATCCTGATCATGGCCAGTTTGTAATGGACAAAATCCAGGGTCACCAAACCTTGGAGGCATGCAAGAAAGCCACCAAATGTAGTTGTCCAGTGCAGCTGGCAGCAACTACATAATATATAGACATCTTTCTTTTCTTAAACTGGTGGCCCAGGTATGGGGTGGGGGTTCATGGGGTGGGTGTGTTCTTGGAATCTCAAAATGCTCCTTACCTCAATTTTTTACTGAGTGTAGTGAGGGTGCAGCAATGACTGTTGGTTGTCCAACTGAACTTCACATGTTTTCAACCCGCTTTCCTTCCTACTTTATTCCCCCCCCCAAAGTTTACCTTGATATGTTGGGGGTTTGGAAGTGACTCTGTTTGTGTACAGTATATATATGTGTGTGTGTGTCCTTGAATCCACTTACAAACAACATTTCTTCTTCTTACAAAAGGAGTCTTTCTTCATTTTTAGCCTAGGCTCACTTTGCTATTTCTGTGCCCCTGATCACTGCTGAAATAGAAAAATATCTTTTGGATCAGCTTTGTTTCTACTTCACATTCATGATCCTGAAGTTACTCTGTCTTTTGTGCACATTTATATCCACCCTAGGGACGTGGTGGTGCTGCGGGCTAAACCGCAGAAGCCTGTGCTGCAGGGTCAGAGGATCCAGCAGTTGTAAGACTGAATCCACGCAACAGAGTGAGTAGATCAATAGGGACCACCTCGGTAACAGTGTTCCGTGTCTAAGTTGCACTGGCCATGTGACCACGGAAGATTGTCTTCAGACAAAACGCTGGCTCTATGGCTTGGAAACGGGGATGAGCACTGCCCCCTAGAGTTGAACACGACTGGACAAAAATTGTCAAGGGGAACCTTTACCTTTATATCCACCCTGCCCTCTATCCCACAAACCACAAAGGCTACAAGTCAGTGCTGCCTATGCCCAACTGCTAAGGTTGTGAATACTGACATCAGAACATTTCCCAGAAAGAGACTGGAAGCTCATACAGATAGCAGAGTGCACATGGCATAATATTACCATATTGCCCACAACTGATTTGAGATGGGTCCTTATCCTATGGCTCCTGGGACATATTTTTACTGAACGTTGGTTTGGAATTTATGAATTGCGAAGAGCAGAATCCTCAAATATTGTGTAAGGTACAATAAGATAGTCCTGGTGGTGTGTACATGATGACTAATATGCTTTACAAAAAGTAATGCAAAATACAGGACTTCAGATGTCAAAAGAAATTGTAGAGCCTCATTTTAAATTTGTAGTCACATTTAAATGGCCAGGTTTCCTCCCATAATCCATGGCAGTAGGAATTCAGTCCTTGCCCATTTATTTATTTAATTGTAATGGTCTTGCATTAAACCTGTGCCTTATTTGGCAAAGAGTCAGTCCCGAAACCAGCAAAATCAGGGAGATGGAGAGGGGACAGATTGTATTTGTCCTCAGTGTGGAAGGGATTGTCACTCTCAAATTGGCCTTCTCAGCTACACTGGACGCTGTTCCAAGGCCTCTATTCAGAGCACATTACCATAGTCTCTCGAGACTGAAGGATGCCTACAGTACAATATTCACAGTGGGCGGCACTATAACCTTTGCATTTAAGACAAAAAAAAATCCTTTATTGGTTTATTTATTGAGATTTAAATGTGGATAAGCCAGTAAAGTTTCTGTCTAAATGCTCAGTTGAAACCAGCAACACATCCAATCTGTCACTTCACTCTTTTTGCTGCTTCAGGGCAGTAACCTGCTGTGCTAGAAGCTGTTTCATGCTTCCACCCTTATTTTTATGTGTCTAACTTTGGCATTTAATTATTTATTGAAATTAAACTAATTCCTGTATGCTAAGTACAGGAGACACCAGATGTTATATATTTGCAAAAAGGTTTGAATAGAGATGACTTAGCTTTGCTAGAATTTAAGTAAACTAATAGAAATAACTATAGCTTGTTCCCTGTCTAGTCATGCTGGCCACGTGACCACGGAGGATAGTCTGCAGACAAGCGCTAGCTCTATGGGTTGGAAAGGGAGATGAGCACTGCCACCTAGAGTTGGACACAACTGGACAAAATTGTCAAGAGCTTTACCTTTATAGTTTGTTTATTTGTTTGTTTAAAACATTTTTACTCTGCATTTGCCTTAAAAATGACCCAAGGTGGCTTCCATCATAAAAAGACAGTATTTAAAATCTAAAAACAGTAAGTAAACAAATATTTAAAAGACTCAAACAAGTACCACACTAAACATGGTAAATCAACACCAAAAACAGATTAAATGCAGCAGGGCACAACACTCCATTTAAAAAAACCCTTTCAGACAGCCAATCACTAAGAGAAAGGTCTTTGTCTGCTTGCAGAAGGACAGCAAAGATGGGGCCAACCTGGCCTCCCATACGAGGGAATTCCAGAGTTCAAGATTTAAGGTTGGGTTGAACAGCTAGTGGTCATCATAATACTTTATTTATTTGTTAGTTAAATTTCTGTCCTGCTTTTGTGCCACAGCAACCTCGTGAAAAGCAAAAGCAAAGTGTGTTGCTTATATACTGCCCCATAGCACTTAAAGCCCTCTCTGGGCGGTTTACAAGTTAATTATGCTGGCTACACATTGCCCCCCCCCCCAGCGAGCTGGGTACTCATTTTACTGACCTTGGAAGGATAGAAGGCTGAGTCAACCTTGAACCAGTTACCTGGGATTGAACTCCAGGCCGTGAACACAGTTTTGGCTGCAGTACAGCAGTTTAACCATTGCACCATGAGGCTCAGTGAACTAGGTGAGGCAGAGGGAGAGCCATTGACCAAACTCATCCCATGATTTTCATGTCTTAGTAAGGGCTTGAACCTAGATCCTGCAAGTCCCAGTCTAACATTTTTTGCACCACATGCTCTCGGTATCTTTGTAATGCCTCTCCCAACATCACTCACTGTTGACTCTGGCTCTTGGACTTCATCTCCTAGCACTACTGGTGTTGTGTTTTGGAGGCTATGCTGGCTAGATATGATAATTGTAGTAATCCAGCAACAATTGAAGGCTCATACATAGCTCATCCTTCCCTGATTGAGCTACCTCTACTTAAAACTAGACTGAAAAACGGGTTTGGTTAAGTGTAAAGGGCTGGCAAATCAAGTCAGTCTTCTCCGTAGGGTATTTTTCTCACCAGTGTCCCTCTTATTCAGGAGTATGGAAGATGTCATGAGAGTGATGCAGTTAGTGACAGTGAGGTAGCTACACTTCTTAGGAGTCTAACAACCTGGCAAAAAGGCCATGGCAAGTGTGGAGGTGTCTGCTGTTGTATTGACAAATGTGATGTGTGTGGAGTAGTCTCCCATTGACAACAAGAATATCTGGCTAGGTCAGGTCAGACCCATGTATAGCTGCTCATTGGAATAGCCAATATCCAGTCACATGGTATTATAGAAATATTCTTGCACTAAATTGATATAGGATCTGTGCTGCCAAGACCTTTTCACAGCTGACTGCATAGGTGAGAGATTCATCCACAGAGGTTTGCCAGAGCCTAGTCAGGGTACATGTTTGAAATGTGGAACGTCTTACAATAAAAATACTCTAGCAGGAAGGAGATCACAGTTTCAAAGTTATTTGATACAGCATCTCAAAAGAATCCAGAGCAGGGCATGAGAAAAGACATTAAACAATGAAGAACTGAAAATATTCAGTTGTACAAATAAGTCAAGCAGGATGGGTGGAAAACCTTGCAGCTAGCAACAGGAGGTATATTCAGTCTGAGCATCAGACTGCTGTGGAAAGTTAGCACTGCAGTTGGATGGCCTGTCTCCTGTGTGGAGCGAGGACTGGAAAGACTGACAGCACGAAACTTGGCTACAGAGCGAGAGCATATGGAACACAACGGAAACAGTGGCTGTCTCAGACACACAGGGAAAGCCTAGTGGGAAGCACTGAGCATTGCTGTTTTTCAAGCAGAGCTAAAGATGTTACCAAAGCTCAAGTTAAGAAACACCACAAAAGTTTAATCCTGCCTAAACAGTGGTAACTGGATACATCCTGTTGCAGAGATGGACTGCAGGCCAACACACAGTAATAGGGCTTTCACAGTTTATATTTTTTCCACCAAATGATCTGAAAAAATGTGCCATGAACTCCCATTATATGATGCCTCCACTGCGTAGAATGGTGCTGCTGTTGTAAAACTGATGGTAAGCACAGTTCCATATCCCCAGTAAAGCTCATTGTGCAGAATTTAAAATTTGGAGGGGAAAAAAGTGAAGTCACATTTTCAGTTAAGTGTTAAGGCATATCTTGGGGAAGAATTTTGCCACATGACCTATGTTCAGGAAGAAATGGTGTAGCTCAGTGGATTGGAGTACCAGGGGCCAGGAATTCAGATCCCCACTGTGTCTCTCTGGGAAGGGGCCAGCTGAGAACATCCAAAGCAGGTGTTCCTAACATCCATATGTTTTATATTTGTTAAATATAATATTTCTCCCCTCAGGAATGCATTATTGATGAAGATTGTGAGACTGGAAAATACTGTGAGTTCTCTGGACTGGAGTACAAGTGTCATGTGTGCAAAACTCAACACACAGTGAGCATTGCATTTTTTAAATTCTCACTCTATCAATCTGCTTTTAAGGTGGTGATTATTATTAGTTATTAGCATTGGTACTGGATATTACTCATAATAATTAGTGATGCAATTATAAAATAATAGCAATGACAGAATTAAATAAGGCCTTTATAGAGCTCCTGTCCTCTGAGAAAGAATTTGCTTCTGTTTCCAGAAATGGGCTCCAGGGCCACCTATCACCTCCAATCTTTGACAAGAAGTTGCCTTAAAAACAGACAAGCAAGCAGTGTTAAAATGCTATACTTCTCAGAAGTTGAATCATGAATACAATTGAGTTCAGTGGGGCTTACTCCTGTGAAGATGTAGGTAGGAGGTAGTGAAGCCCGAAAGATATGATTCCTGAAGGAGATGTTTACCAACAACCCCGTTTCCCCTTCTCCTCCTTCCCCACAGACTTCTCCCACAGGAAGTAGATAAAACATAGGTAAAAAATACAAACTGCTGTCAATTAGCCAAGGAAGAGAAGTATGTCCTAGGAAGCAGCCATTGCAGTTTTCCCTGTTTCTGTATTCGTACATTTACACAGTGCCTTCCAACTGCCAATGAACCCTTTATGGCTGACTCTTCTCTTACAGTGGAACTCAGATATCAGTGGTGGAAGGAGGGGAATGACAGAGAAAAAGGTCTACAAAATGATATGCCAGGAAAAGTTGTGGGTCCAAAGGATTTTTAGTACTTCTGGTCCTCAGTCTATCATCCTGAAGCTTCAGATCTATGCTAGTCCTGGAGCTGGTGTAGGTTATTTCACACTAATTGAAACCAAGAGAAAAAAAGTGGCTAAAATGACTGGGAAAAGAGGCAGCCACAAAAATGCTGTTCATTCCTCATTTCTGGTCCACTCATATGAGAGTGGTAGGGCTTGGGATAGTACAGAGTCCCTGTTTGAGCTCCATCTCACTAAATCTTCACAATAACACTTTGCCATACTTGTTCTTCCCCCCTTTCTTTTCTGAAAAGACAGGTTTTCTTTAAAGAGCAAAAAAACAACAATCTAACTTTGCTTTAAAGAAAGTAATGGAATGACATCCCCCTTCCTTTTCTGAAAAGGCAGGTTTTCTTTAAAGAGCAAAAAACCAACAATCTAGCTTTGCTTTAAAGAAAGTAATGGAGTGACAATCCTCCAGAAAGGGGGATATTTTGCCATTCATCATCAGTAATCATTCTCTCAGGATTTCTGAGACCAAACTGTCTTCTCACTTGCTGTATGTTTTCAAAGGGGAAATCAGCTTCATGTTTGGAGCCCTGACAATTGCTTTATGTTTTGGTGACAAGTGGTTTAAAAAAGGAGTCCAGTTCCAGGATTTTAGGATTTTTCTCCTGCTTGGTTTCTCTTTGTGAACAATAGTGAGCACAAGAGAGTATCCTGTAGATCATCTTGACTACTGACATTGATGTCATCAGCATTCAGGCTGTCCTTTGCTATGTAAAGTTAGGCATCCTTTTTCCTACTGCCAACATGAGCATGATATTGTGCAGTGATATTGCATCATTTACTGGCATTTTCAATCATGGATATACAAGCAGAATATCTCACATTCATAAACTGCTGGTTTTTTTAAAAAAAATACTTGAATCTACTTTGGGAACTCCAGTCAAACCTGCTGTATCTTCATGACTGAGGTGGATATACTTGTGAGGCAATCTGCTATTTTGTTATAGAATTACTGATGTAATGATGCAGTGTTTTTCATAGCTGAAAACACTGATGATTATTTGAAGCAGGATTAAACTACACAGATTTAATCAGTTGTCATAACTAGAGTAGATATTTTGAACCAGTGGAATCTTATGGAGTTGTTGACCCACCAATGCCTAAATTTACTGTAAAGAGATTGTATTGACTGGATTGATTATATCTACCAGTTAGTTGTTCACCTGTGAATTTCCTTCATTTCCCTGCCCTGCCCTCAGCGTTGTTCTCGAGATGTGGAATGTTGCGGACACCAGCTATGTGTCTGGGGCGAGTGCATAAAAACTGCCTCTAAAGGAGAAAATGGAACCATCTGTGAAAACCAGCATGACTGCAGTCCAGGATTGTGCTGTGCTTTTTCAAAAGGTCTGTCACTTCAGCATACATTCTTGTTCCTATTCTTTCCCATGGATGAGAGATCAACCAGCTAACTACATCAGTCTTTTGTGTTTGAATTTCTGTATCTGAATCTGTGTCTGTTACTTAATGATTGATACCAAAGAACATTACAGTGAACATAAAATACCCATGAACTACCTGTAAGATGAAGTGTGAGCAAATGGAAAAACATTTGCCTTGGCAAAATAGCATATTTTATTTCTTGGTGATTCTTGTGTGTTTATTGAACACTGCTGCAGAGTATCAGAATATGTGATATAGCTGGCATGGTGGCCTATCACCACTCAGAAGGGGTGTGTGCTGGTCTTCATATTGTGTATTTTCAACCTTAAGGAATCCCCTCTTTAAAAACACAAAGGGAAAACAAGAAAAAGAACCCAAACTGCTATAAGAATGATTACCACTCAGAAGGGGTGTGTGCTGGTCTTCATATTGTGTATTTTCAACCTTAAGGAATCCCCTCTAAAACACGAAGGGAAGACAAGAAAAAGAACCCAAACTGCTATAAGAATGAAGTGACAAACTGGAGTGCTTTCACTGGGACAGCTTGCCTGAATCTGAGCAGTAGACCTTTGTCTCAGTTCATATCCCATACAGTACTAGGGTCTGTGTTTGCTCAGCAGCCAGAAGGAAGCTTTCAGAGAAAGAAAGTTTACTGTAATTGTTTCACAGTTTCATTTCATATTCACTCATGCTCAGCCAGAAAGTGATTGTTCTGTACAAACGTATCATAGGATAGTTATTGTATGTGACCCACTTGCTTATAGTCTCTGGCCAGCTATAAAAGAGGACATAGGAAGCTGCCTTAGACTGATTCAGATCACTGGTCCCTCTAGCTCAACACTGACAACTCTAGCTGGCAGCAGCTCTGCAAATTGTTGAGCAGGATCCTTTCCTATACTAACTTGGGATCTCAGGTGTTGCTTGCTCATTTGCTATCCTTTTACTAACCAGACTTGGCCTTGCTTGACTTCCGAAATCAGACAAGGAAGTGGACTTGTTCATGAAAGCTCACATTAAGATATAGCAGTTAGTCTTGAAGGTGCCACTACATTTTTGTCTTTTTCTTTTCGCTGTGGCCCCAGGAGCAGTTTAGGCAACTCCTTCTTTGGTGACTGATGGTAAAGATGTATTTTTCAGCAGGAGAAAGGAAGGTGATGCTAGAAAAGGTATATATGGCCAGTTCCACTGGGCAACCATGATGACTGAGATTACTTTGCATCTGCTTGTTATTAGTGGTGTATTGTGGCCTTGTAACTGCCATGAACATTGAGAACATTTTTTCTAACTCAGCAGTCAGATTCTGTCAGAGAAAAGGACAGGTCATTAGCTTGGAAACATAGATCAAATTTGATGTTAAAGAGAAGGTATATTATGTGTATGTTTATATGTTTTTCTGTGTTCTGTACATGAAACTAAAGTGATAAGAAGCACAATTGATTCTCATAATCCTTAAAGGTATATTATGTGTATATTTGTATGTTTTTCTGTGTTCTGTACATGATAAGAAGCACAATTGATTCTCATAATCTTTATGTACAGATCTTCTGTTTCCTGTGTGCACCCCATTAGCAGGCGAGAGAGAACCTTGCCACGATCCTTCCAACAGGCTTCTCAATCTCATTACATGGGAACTGGAGCCTGATGGAGCCCTGGATCGCTGCCCCTGTGCTCATGGATTGAGCTGTCAAATGCAAAGGTAAGACTCTGAAATAAGTAGCATTAGCTGGGTGTCATTTGACCAGAACTGCTGGCCAAATTGGAGAGTGAGTCCTGAATGTGAATGAGGGCCAGAATAGTTGTGAATGTCATGAATACAATCAACACGCTACCCCTGGTTAGGCACTTCCCTTCTCATGTGTAGGCCTATGTTCATGGTGCGGGATGGGAACACACTTAAGAGGCTCATCTACAAACATCTCACTACCCATAAATTAGTTAGACCTCCATACACGGACATGAATTGTCTGAAAGGGACTCTGTAAGAAGCCCTCTTCAGGTGTTAAAAGTATGTATTGGAAAGTGTTCTAGCCACTCACTCCTTTAATTCCATTGCCCTCCACAGGTAGGAGGGTAATGGAAGTAGCAATGTCTCTGAAGAGGGACAGCCTGTGAAATCCATAGGAGTTCTTCACTTGAGTTGGGACTTGATGCCCCATGATGAGCCTTCAGAGGCAAAGCTCTTCATTTTCCGCTTCATCAACTTATTACACCACCACGTCCCTCTACTTATTACATAGGGGCAGCAAAACTGGGTGTGGAGGAAAATAGGGCTCAAGTGCTCCCTTTTACACATGGCCATTCTGCAGTTTCTCCTGCCTGAACATGACTAGTGAGTTTGAGTTCCTGGGATGAGGAACCTGATCAAATATACTTTGCCAAATACACTTCAGGCCATCTGTTCAAACCTCCATGCCCAATGCATGAAGGTCTTCAGCATGGCTGGTGCATTGGAACATTTGGTTTACATACATCCTACCACAAATTTAGTCTTACCTGAGTTCAGTCAAATGCTTGGATAGGAATATTTAGAGTCTTTTCATTGTATGAACAAGAGGAAAGTGAAAGGAAAGGTTAAGCAGACATAGGACTTAATACTAGTGGAGGTTTCTCACGTAATGCAAATAAAATAGTTTTGCTGGGTAGGGAAAAGGAAGAGTTAAGCTTCACTCTCCACAATCCCAAGACTTTCCCCTTGGTTGCTGTTCTATAACCAAGTCATGCATGGTAGTCACATTCCCAGGATTAACTTTGCATACAGTTTGGCCTTAAAAATGAATATCTGATCCACCTCCCAACTTTAGTGTGGATAATATTGGAGATCCTTGTCTATAGCATTATTTTTTTTAAAGATCTCATGCCACATATTGTCCAGAGCTTAAGCAGTTTGAGGAAATTTTTTACAAATTAAGAGTTGGCTAAGTTTTTTTATCACTATTTTCATGTGAAATAGCAATATTTATTTTTAAATAATTATAAATTTTTGGTAATTCTGAATGATTTTGTTCTAATTTAGCAATTTGGTTATTGTTCTTATTAAGGATTGTTATTTTCTCTTAATGCTTTTATATTTCAGCATTAGTTTTCTGCAACCATTTAACACTAAAAAATGCTGACATCTCCTGGCTCTAGTTTTACTAGTTTTAGGTATAATAGCCTTCTTAGCTGTAATATGAAAAATGCCTAGTGCTCACCCTCAACCCCTTCTCTTGGTAAGACCAAGAGCAGATTTTATCTTCCTGAAAGTATTTCTTCTGTACTAAAGACAAATGAACACCCACCTAAACCTACCCAGTGTTTACTTATTTGCACAAGTACTCCTTTGTATGCATTAGTTCCCATGTGGATGACAGTGTTATGACCACCGCCACTGTACAAAAACCAAAATAACATAGGAGTTCAGTTCTTATTGGTGTGCCTGATTGTACAAACACTCTGACAGCAAACATCTGTGTGAGTGATGCTAACAAGCAGAATGTGTAATTTCTCCCCTCAGTTCCAGCAGCGATTCTCGCTGTGTACTCCCATTTAATAAGACCCAATCTGATGAGAAGAACCCTTCAATAATGGATGAAATAGCACTTCTGGATTTCGTAACACAAGATATTCCTGGTGACTATGAAGACAGGCTGGTCAAAGAAGTGCAAAAAGATCTGGAGGAAGAAACAGCTGACTCAAGGGAGCTGGAAGACCTGGCCGCTGACCTGCTTTGGGGAGATGAAATCTAAGTGAATGAAACAAATCAGTGGATTGTTCACACATTTTTAGCAATTGACAGGTGTATTGTTTGATGTCCCTGCACAAAATGAGCCGCCCAGAGACCTTTGCGTAGAGTGGGCGGCATATAAGTTGAATGAATGAATGAATAAAATAAACACATGCATCTACATACACCTACCTTCTCTTTCTGCTGCATAGAAGTGCAATAATCAAGAATATATTTTACATAGTTAATAGCCCTCTGCCCTGCCTGACAAGCTATTTTCTTTTCTAAAGCTCAACCCAAATTCTGCTTTACCAAATACGACCAGTGGCTTTCTGTACGGACAAATTCTTAAAATTTAAAAACAAAGCGTGTTTTGAGCTTGTTAATCAGTACATTAATTTAAGTCTATTTAAGATTATTGGTGGTTGTTTGAGCACTCTGTTTTCTGTATATATTGTTTGTTCTTTTAAAAAAATTATCAGAGGAAGAACTGGTGTTTCAACTGGATGCTGTTTTCTTTTTTATTCCCTTCTCTTAAAAATATAATCAGTGAAATTGCAATAAATACTGTGCTTGGGTTTTTGCTGTTGTTTTTAAAAACAATTACAAGGCAGCAAGCTCTCAGATGAAGTAGAATGGACAATTGCTTGAATATTTCTGCTCTTTGAAAATCCAGGTTGAAAGGCACCATTGACTTTAGCAAGAGCAAAAACAAGTACTTCCGAGGGTCGTTTCCAGTGGGAAAGGGTGGTTAGCAGCCAGTCCTTTGGGTAGCTGCATTTTCTGTCCCAGGATGTGTATCTTGCATGTGCCAATCTGTAAATGAGCACAGTAAAGCCACAAGGTTGGAGTTACATAGGTACAGCCTGTTGCCTTTCCAAGAAATATTGCATTTATTACTAATAGAGCTATGAATATAAATGATTGACTCAGTAAAATTATTTTTAAAATAAGGTAGTGCTTTTGAAAAGATGCAGCCTGCTCTAAATTTCCTGTCAAGAATAAAAAACTGTCAGTTAAATCTACCTTTTAGTATTTCTTGGTTTTAATCCGGACCAATCTGCTTGTTCTAGAATTAGTTCTTTGAAATTAAGATTCATTATCTTAGACCAATGAGTTTATTCTTTGTAATAATATCAAAGCACTCAGTTAGAGATGCAAAGTGGGAGTCTAGCTTACGAAGTTTTACGTGTACAGTGGTGCCTCACATAGCGATGTTAATCCGTGCAGCAAAATCGCTAAGCGATTTCATCGCTATGCAATTTTAAAAAGCCCATAGAAACGCATTAAAACCTGTTTAATGCGTTCCTATAGGCAAAAAAACTGACCTTAAAGTTAAGATCCTCCATACGGCGGCCATTTTCGCTGCCTCTTATGCGAGGAATTGGCGCTAAAACACAGCGGGCGGCCATTTTTAAAAACCTGGCGGCCATTTTGGAACCGCCGATCAGCTGTTTAAAAATCATTGCTTTGCGATGATCGGTAAGCGAAACAGGGAACTGATCATCACAAAGTGATAAAACCGCATAGGAAACATCGCAATGCGATCACTTTTGCAATCGCAAGTTAATTGCTATGTGGTTTCATCACTAAACGGAGCAGCCCGTTAACTGAGGCACCACTGTAAATAGGTCTGGGAATATGCCTCACTCAATTCCTACTTAAGAGAGATTTTTAAATTACTTTCATGATGTTTCAGTAAGCCTTTCTAAGTGCATCATGTCTCTTTTGGTCATTGTAAATAAAGATAGAAATGCAAGCTGATAGTTTCAGACTCTGAGACAAACCATATACTACTATAGGTTATGGGAACATTCTTTCAAATATGTTCACTTAACAAGATTCTGTGCAGAACTCAATTTAGGGTTACTATTCCCCCAAATGTCCAGAAGTGGGTGTGGAGTTGTTACAGGCTTAGTTTTCTAAGCATTGCCAACATGTGCAGGCTAGACATTGCAGATGTGCTCACTTGTCAGAAGTGTGTTGTTAGATCACAAGCCAAACATGAACCAACAGTGAAATGCAGCTTAAAAAAAGCAAAAGCTTTTTGGATTCCAAATCGCATGAAATACTAGTTCCCCTCTATTCAGTGCTAGCTAGGCTTCATTGTGAGTACTGTGTTATCCTGAACACTGGACTCCAAGAAGGATGCAGGCAAACTTGAACAGGTTCAGAGAAGAGCAAGAAGTTTGATCAAGGGACTGAAAATCAAACCCTATGAGGAAAAAGTGGAAGATCTGGGCATGTTTAGCATGGAAAAAAGACTGATGCAAGATACGATAATGCTGTTCAAGTACTTGAAAAGCTGTCATACGGAGGGAGTGCAGGGTCATTGCAGAATACAAGACATAATGGGTTCAAGGCACAGAAAACGGGATTTTGGTTGACTATCAGTGGAACTGATTACCTCAAGAGGCAGTTAGCTGTCCAAAACTGGAGGCGTTCAAAACAGACAAACACTTCAAATGTACTTTTAACTTGCATTCCTTCACTTAGCAGCGAGTTGAACTTGACTGCCTTTTAGGCCTCTTCCAACGCCATTATTCTATAATTCTATGAGTGTGGAACTCTCTCATCTCTAACAAGACGATTGTAAATGTGGAGCAGCTTGTGTGTTAATGCTACGAACACCTTTCCCCTTCTATGCAGTGATTGGAGGAACTATGATTAAGATTTTTCTGTGCTAGAACACAGATCTGGTAATAAAAAATAGGAAGTGATCACCTTGGGCAAGTAGTAAAAATACTGTAGGTAGGAGGTGCACCCTACTTTTTCACACTACCCCATGGCATAGTGATAAACTGCAATACTGCACTCAAGCCTCTGCTCATTACCAGAGTGGGTGTGTGTGGGTGTGTTGTTTGCAGAATTATGTTGTAAACTGCCCAGCAGAGCAGGTGTGTGTGGGTATGTTGTTTGCAGAATTATGTTGTAAACTGTCCAGCAACTGAACCTCTTCATGTTTTTCCAAGGTTATAGATTCCCAGTGCTTGCTATTTTGAGAAGTCAGTTGACTGAACCTCTTCATGTTTTCCCAAGGTTATAGATTTCCAGTGCTTGCTATTTTGAGAAGTCAGTTGATTGTTGTCAGTTCACTGGCAAGCATCTGCAATAGTTCTAAGACTGCTAATAAGCAGCTAAAGAGGTAACACACAATGTCAGAATGTTACCTGTAGGAGAGCAAAGAGACATTGCAGTAGATGAACTTTCATCCAACTTGAGAAGTCATACTCTTAGTTTTGTCATGACCAGGAAAATTCATTAAAATTAATTTCCACTGGCAGGTTTTGCTAAATGAACACAGAAATGCTAATTTATCAGAGTAGCACAAACTAGGCTGTACTGTACACAAATACAACTATAGCTGATAGTTGTTGCCATGTATGTATACTTTTATCAACAAATTAAGCAAGGTGCTGGAGTGGGTTGTGGCTTCTCAGCTCCAGGGGTTCCTGCATGGGATTATTTAGATTTATTTACCCTGGTTTCAGCCAAAGCTATAGGACAGACTACTCTGGTCGCCTTGGTGGATGACCTATGCTGAGAACTGGATAGGGGGAGCATGCTTCTGCTGGACGACCCAGTAGCTTTAGATACTATTGACCATTATCTATCCGTCTGGCCTATCTCTCTGGGATGAGACTTGAAGGTATTTTACAGTGGCTCTGGTCCTTCCTCGAAAACTCAGGTGGTGATGCTGGGAGATTCCTCTTCAATACCCTGGCTGCTGGCCTGCAGGGCTCCCAAAGGTTCTGTTTTGTCACCTACTGTATTTGCCGGCGTATAAAACAACTGGGTGTATAAGACGACCCCCCAACATTTCCACTCAAAATATATAGTTTGTTATATACTCGCCGTATAAGACTACCCGCTCTTCCGCACACCTTGCACATACCAAATAAAAGGCGCTATTCATTGTCACCATTGTATGGCCACAGAGCAACCGCAGCGCCTTCGGCCCGCCCCTGCATCTCCCTGTGACCGGCACTAGTGCGCAAGTGCGCATATGTGAGCTCTGCGTAGACAAGGGGCGTGCTGGAGCGCCGCTGCTTTCCACTGAGCGGGCTGGTCACATCGAAAAAGCTGGCACCCCTGTCTCCTGTGGGATACTGGATGGTATGTAGAATGAGATGGGCAAGCATCGGGAGGGTACTATGGGCACCGGGCGAGCATTGGAAGGCCACTATGGGCAGCTATGTCTATCCCAACTGAAGTGCACCCGGCGTATAAGATGACCTCCCCATGTGGAGGCATGTTTTTCAGGGCAAAAAAGTAGTTTTATACGCCAGCAAGTACAGTATGTTACTTAACATGTATATGAAACTACTGAGAACGTCGTCCAGAATTTTGGGGTTCAGTGTCACTGGTATTAGGATGAAACCAAACTCTATCTTTCTTTCCCATCTAAGTCCTAGGAAGCTATTTTGGCTCTAGATTAGTTTCTAATGTCAATAATGGACTGGATTAGGATGAATAAATTGAATCTTAATCCAGACAAAACAGAGATGCTTTCCAATTATTTGTGAACACAGAAATTTCAGAGTGGAAACCATGTCATTGAATTTCTCCAGCAGGAGAAATTCTCCAAGTTTCTCAGAGGTGGGGTTCACCATTGGTATTGGTTGCAGCATGCCTGGCTGGATTACTGCAATATGCTCTCTGTGGGGCTGCCTCTGGGAAGCATTCAGAAACCAGCAGGTTCAAAATTAAACTGCCAGATTGCTAACTAGGTCTGGTTGCAGGGATCAGATAATACAGCAGCTCCAGTGGGTGCTAATACATTTCTGGGCACAATTCAAAGTTTTAACCTATGAAGGCCTAAACAACTGGGGTACAAAGTATCTCAAGGACTGCATCTCTCTTTATGCGCCTGCCTAGCTATTCAGATCAGGAGAGACCTTTCTCTTGGTCCCATCACCCTCACAGGCATGTATGGTGGGGACACGGGAAAGGGCCTTCCATGTCGTTGCCCCCCAACTTTGGAACTCCCTCCCACAGGTGGCCAGGCTGGCCCCTTCTTTACTGTCCTTCCGCAAGCAGGCAAACACCTTTCTCTCCAGGCAAACTTTTCCTTAATTGGCTGCCTGGGTGGGGTTTTTTTAAAATGAATGCTTATGCCTTACTGCTTTGAATGCATTTTAATGTTGCATAATGTGGTATCTGATCCTTTTTACTATTCATATACTTACTGTTTTTAGTTTTCAATATTGCATTTTACTGATGCAAGCCACCTTGGGTCCTTGTTAAGGAGAAAAACAGGTAAAAATATTTTAAATAAATAAGACAAACATCAAACAACTCATTGCAACAGGAGGACAATGACCTTTTGAATAAACTCTTCATTAGTCTTCAACTGAAAGGTTTCATATCATGCTCCTTTTGTACTTTCTGGCTAGGCAAGGGACTTGATTTTTGTCCCCTTGAAGCAAAATCTGCTGTACAAATTACTTGAAATGGAACTGGTATTCAAGTTCGCATGGGGCTTTTAAACCAATGACTCCAAAATAAAAGGTAATTAAGGCAAGTAGAAATTTTCCAAACCTTGATTTGGCTATCCAGTGGCAGAACACAGTCTGGCACCCTTCTGTGTGGAGATTCAGTGGATTTCCCAAAATGGGCCGTAAACACAGAAAAAGCTACACCTATCATTTTCGTAACTCCCTGAAAGAATTCCATGCTGGCTATAGTCTGCACAGCCTGTTGAACTAGCTAAAGTTAAATTCAAAAGGAAAATCTAGTTATCCTAACAATATATTTAAGAAGTCCAGAGGTTTGGTTAAAATAACAACAAAATGAACAAATGTTTTATTGGCATGTTCATTGTTGTAAACAACATCTGGCATGGAAAAGTTTACCAAAACCTTTTATTGATTGATATAAATTAGATGGTATTTTCAAAGCCAAAACGAAAGTGAAAGAATTCTCTATGGAATTATTTGTAAATGATCTTGTAATGTAGCAAAGCAAAATTGTACTTCTCTAAGCTTTGCAATGCAATCATGTTTACTGTATCAGTCTGTACCACATCCGGAACTACTGGTGAATTTATACTGGGAAGTGTTAAAAGACATCCAACTCTGGAAAAAAAAAACACTCTACATATAAAAACTATGAATCAACTCGAGGAAAAATAAAATATGACTTGCAATGGTACTAGAAGATGCAAACGTGCAATGAGTCCCCAAACAAAAATGTACAAAAATACGTAGCCGATCAAAACAAAAACAAAACCCCAAAACTCATTAACATGGGAAAATTACAAATCTAAGTACCCAGCATTGCTCAACAGAAGATGAATACAAATTTAAATAGGCAACTATACTCATAAAAGTACACAAAGAATATTGATATGTGAAAAGAAACATTGTAAGCAGCTGAAATGTAATCCTGCCAACTTGTAAGGGCAGAATTGTATTTACACACACTGAATAGAACAAAGAAGTTGCCTGTATCCATAACCTAAATAAAAATCAGTTACAACATTTCTGCAAAATGGAACACCACCTGCTGGTATGGTAACTTTTGCTAAAAATACTTTCTTCTTCTTCAGATATCCTGTTCTGTGGAAGAGAAATCCAATGAGATTCAGCTAATTTTTAAATTCATTTTGTAAAGTTGGGTACTGCCAATTTTACCACATATCCGTCCACTTTCACTCTCATGCTTTAAAAAAAGCCACTGTCATATTTACTTCAGAAATCTTCAATGAGGTAATGTGTGTATCAGTGAAACAAACAGAAAATCATTCATTCATGGCCTTTCCACAGCTTTTATTATCAAGCTATGTGTATCCTGTTTGAGGCTAGTTTACTAGCTACCGTTTTGTGCACACTGTCCTCGATTTTTGCTTATTACCCTCCCCACCCCATTTTCATACTTTTCTTTTTTATTTGCACATCCCTTTTCTCTTTACAGTACATTTGACTATAGTGCACAACATGATTCCAAGTCAAACAGTGACCTGACTGGGGTACTGAGCTTGATGGGGCTGCAGTTTTACCAATCAGTGCTGGTGTCTTGTCTGTACACCTCATGTCCTGCCATAACGGCACTACAGTCGTAGTGTACCTCTCTCACACTTCTCAAAAAAGCTTCCTCAGAGAAAGTTCTGAAATAAGTATCAGTCTTGAGTCAAATCTTTATTTGGCGCTCCATCCAGATATATTTTTAGTGCTTTTTCTTTACGAGGGGAATAGGTCACACGGTGTCCAGTTTTCTGAAGTCTGCTGCTTTCTTTTTTCATCAGTTCATTTCTCTGTTCCTCTGTCAATTCCACCACTTCTTCAGTTTTATCCCTATTGATAAACAGAACATGTTTTCAGCTGCATACATACAGTTTAATTTACACACAGTGAAACCTTGATCATTTTTATCTATCTGTTGATGTAAACTCAGTCAGAGTTGCTAACATCTCTGCCATCTGTGGTCATCTTGTGGTAAGAACTGAGAACTGCCAGTTCCAAAGGCAAATTCTGAATCAAGGATAAATTCTGCACCAGAGTCAAAAGAATGGTGCTGCAAAACAACTTTGCAGAGGACCATTCTGAAATGGAACAAAGGGTCAATATTCATTTTCTCTACTTAGGCCCCCAAAGGAATGTGCCAGCAAACTAATTACAGACAACTATCTTTGGCCATCTCATGAGAAGAGAAGACTCCCTGGAAAAGACCCTAAATAAAATAAATAATAAAATAAAATGTTGGGAAAGTGTGAAGGCAAGAGGAGAAGGGGATGACAGAGGACAAGATGGTTGGACAGTGTCATCGAAACAACCAACATGAATTTGACCCAACTCCGGGAGGCAGAGGAAAACAGGAGGGCCTGGCGTGCTCTGGTCCATGGGGTCACGAAGAGTCAGACATGACTTGACTAAACAACAACAATCTTATGGTAAGAAAATCAACTGGAGAAAATCATAGAATAATGAAGTTGGAAGAAGCCTGTAAGGTCATTGAATCCAACCCCCTGCTCAATGCAGGAATGCAAATCAAAAGGTATCTGCCAGGTAGTTGTCTAAATTTCTCTTCAATGCCTCCTGTGTTGGAGCACCCACTACCTCTCGAGGTAACTGATTCCACTGCCGTATTGCTCTAATGTTACGAAGTTTTTCTTGATAACGAACTGAAATATGGCTTCCTGTAACTTGAGCCCATTGTTGCATGTCCTGCACTCTGGGATGTTTGAGAAGAGTTTCTGCATTCAGTGAATCCACTTTGAGTTAATTCCCCAAACAGTGGCTGAAATCTTGTTGAGCAATGTACACTGCATAAGGCGGATGATGTAAGAACATAAGAAGAGCCCTGCTGGATCAGGCAAGGGCCCATCAACTCCAGCTTTCTGTATCTCACAGTGGCCCCACCAGATGCCTCGGGGAGGACACAGGACAACTAGATAACTGTTTCCTGATACCACTCATCTGCATCTGCCATTTGGAGGTACCTTCCTTTTAAGTCTGGAGATTATACATCCCCATCATGGCTTGTAACTTGCGATGGACTTTTCCTCCAGGAATCTGTCCAGTCCCCTTTTAAAGGCATTTAGGCCAGATGCCATCACCACATCCTGTCATCAGTAATGACAATTTTTAAAGAAATAAAATATTTCTGGTTCCCTCTTGAAGGTCGCAAGGCTCCCGTGAGATCTCTTTCATGGAGGATAGGTGGAAAATTTGATTTCTAAAAATCACCACTGCGTACGTTAAAGCCACAGGATTTCAGCTGGTGCATTCTAATCTTTAAAATGTATTCAAAATACAGTGGTGCCTCGCTTAGCGCGCGCACCGTATGACGAATCCGTATAGCGATCCCCTTTTTGGACATACTGCATTGTAACTTTATTTAAATTTTGCCCAGGTTTGGGGAAGAGAACATTCTGGAAAGTAAATAGTTGAAACAATCACACAAAGCCTGTATATTTTGTCACACTTCTGTCAATGAAATTACATTTTTGGGGGCTATCCCAGTCATTTACAACATGGCAGCTACATACATAGCTCTTGAACAACAACAATGGGATACATATAATGTTCTTCCATATAATCTCCATGCAGCTAAAGATTCTGTTGTGGCCAGCATCACAAAATGCTAACAAGGTGGCTACTGTGTGAGTCCACAGATATCAATTTTGATAGTTAAAATGCAAGAGTTTAAAGAGTAGTAACTTCACACATAACAACAATTTCAGCAGAATGGTAGTGAGGGGGAGAAATCTGATCTGTGATCGGCCCACTCCAGACTCACCAAACACAAATTCTGAAACTTCAACCCTCTTTCTGTTTTTTAATTTCATACCAAAACTTACAAGTTAATTTAGAATGATGTTACAGCAATAACAACAGCAACAAAGAGACATACCTATAAAATATCACAGCTCCATCATCACAAATGTAAAGAGGCCATACATTCAGTGTCGAAACCTTAGGATTCCAATCCAAGTCCTGATGTATCTCTAAAACTGAGATCTCACATGGAAAAGTCCCCCTACCCTGGAAAAAAACAGAGATTCATACTAAATAAGTGTATATAATGTGAAGGGTATACAGAATGTACAAAGCCTACCATACAATCTCAAAGGTAGGCCCAGGAAGACCATCAGATTTGCACTAGTCATCGTTTAGACCCCTGTTCTCATTCACTTCTTTCATTCCCCAAACAAATACTGTAATTTATATTTCTGTCTACTGATATATGAACTTAAAAATCCGATTTATGGCACAGAAAGAGATGTTGAAGCACCCACAGGTTAAACACTACAAGCTGGGTGCATACATGCCCTTTAAGGAAAGAAGAGCTCCTTCAGGTCCTGAGGCCTCAAATTGAGAAATGAGATAGTTTTCACTGGTTCTACTTTTTTTTTCTTTTTCCTGTGGACACCTATAGTCCCATAAAAGCCTTCCTGGAAATTTCAGGGATCCTCACAAAAGTGTGGAAGGAAGGATGAATTTATAAAACCACCTCATCTTCCCAGAATCTTAGTTTAACTTCATTCATGGAAAGTCTATTTAGCATGGAGAAAAAGTTCTTACCTTTGCAAACTCAACATTTTCTAATGGAATTCCGCTTATTTCACTTAACTGTTAAAAAAAGTAGACAATTTATTTGTTGGAGGTAAATGTAAGATTAATGTTCCCCCTAAGCCATGTGGGTGCACGCCACTGCATCCAGTGCGCACAGCAGAGCAAGTGTATCTGCCCATTAGCAGCTGAACTCTGTGCGCAAGGGGCAGAACCTCCATGCAGAGCTCCAGAAATTAGAGGGAATGTTGTTTAAGATGAAACACATTTTTATGTTCTTCTTATGACATGCAAAGTTCTATATAAGATACGTCATTTTAATTTATGCAAGATTCTGAAAATCCTTGATTTTTTTTCCCTTTGGGAAGAAAAAGCACATTTCTATCTTTGCTGTGAGTTCTTTGAAAATACACACATAAGGACATAAAAGGTTCACAGTTCACTGTAACAACCTATCATTCTTTGCATTTTCTAGAACTTTCTCTTCTCATGTTGTTTAATCAATACATGTTATACAGTACATTAAAGCAGAAGACACAAATAGTTTTTTTTTTAAAAAAAAACCCAACTGACCATAGTTTGTAAATAATGAATGACATATACACTGGCAAACATAAAATCTGCTCTATACAGTACATTAAAGCAGAAGACAAAATAGTTTTTTTTAAAAAAAAAAAAAACAACTGATCATAGTTTGTAAATACTGAATAACATATACACTGGCAAACATAAAATCTGCTCCATTTAGGGGAGATATCACACCATCAATGGCTATTTTATATCTATTCAGCAGCTCTGCCCTGATTAGGTTACCTTTCACAAATTAAGGAGACATATATGGATACTATGAAGTACGTTTGTTAATGCAAATCTAATTTACCTTTTCTTTTAATTCATCAACACTACTGCTCTCCAAAACTACTTCCTGAAAAGGATCCAGCTTCATCTCTGATGGCTTCCATCTTCTTGACAGAACTGCAAGCTGTGACATAGATTTCATTTTTTCTGGTCCTACAAAAGTTATTAGAAGTATTGTAAAAGCTTTCAACAAGATATTTTATTGACAAACACAAAATTAAAACTTTATGTAAAAATCAAAACTTTTAAAAGAACAAATACTCGAATGCATATTAAACACAGCTCCCATTTGAAGCTTTGGCCTAGACCTTCATAACATATCATAACTCACTATACTATTCAAAAATCTGGCTCGTTATTATATAAGATAATAAAACTACACATCTGTGCCTACTGAACTACCATTATACATTAATATGTACATACTGCACAGCATCCCACTAAAGCTGTAAGCCTGTATTTCTGTGCCTGTAGAGCTACGTATAAGGCCTAAAGACCTCAGTAGGATTGATTTTTACACACACAGACAGGATTGGGCTGTTAAAAATGTTTAACTGCTAAATTTCAGATAATGTAGTCAGCTAATTATGATGCAAATTAAATATATTTCTGATTATTTCTAAATAATAAGCTAGATCAGTAGTTACCAACTGAACAGTGTTATTACCATCAAGTATTTCCAGAAAGACTTCCCAGTTACTTGAAATATTTATATCTTCTTCATAAACATGATAATCTAGAAACACAGTTCCTGGATTTTTCCACGTCTTCTTTCTTAGGCGGAATCTAGAGAAACAAATGAAACACATATTAGCATGTATCTGTAAATTACATTTGCTAGTAATAGTGACATATCTTGATCAAAGCTAAAGCTAGAGTATTTATATTACAGGATGTGCTTTTTATGGAAGGGATCTAACAAATTTGAGTTAAAAACAGAAAATACAACTTCTCAACCTCATTTCATGGAAACTTTATTTTTAGAACACTGTGACTGAAATCTCAGAAACTCGGTATTGTTTTAGTTCTAAAAAGTAATATACAAGATAGCTGCAAAGACTGTCACTGAATGCTACACAGCCCAAAATATCTATCATGTTCATTTCAGTTATTAAGCAACACTGGATAATTCTGATAAATTGAAAGTTGTAGGAATTACTTCTCATGCCTCGTGTTTCCTAAGATATAGTTTTAGCAGACATAATAGCAAATAAGTGTATTTCTACTCAATTTTTGATACATATGGCCAAAATCAATAGTTCCCAACCTTGCAATCCTCATGTTGACTATAAAGATATAAACTGGAACTTCTCTATAATGGTGTTTACCTGTCAATGGTTAGATTTAGCCCACACTGCTCCCTGAGCTGAGGAAGTAGTTCCTCTTTTGACTGCCGCACTGTCATTCCTTTAGCAAAAACAGAATCGAGAAGAAACTTGCAGGGCTGTGAAAGCAAATACAAAATCATTACACTTATCACATAAAATATAACTTTTCTATTTCACATATACCACAGCTATAAAATATAAGGATACCACCATTTCCAATCTTCCCTTTCCAAGATATGCAGTACAAATTATTTCATGTCTCGGTAATCTGCAAAACTCCCATCAGCAGCAGTGCATGATACACTGGCAGTGGTGGGAAGAGTACAGCACAATGTTGGGCAATGAAAGAGAAAACTGTTCTGTCTTCAGTGGTCTCTCCACGTTTATCATAATGGCTTGTATGGATGACCAATACAGTGGTGCCTCGCTTAACGAGGTCTGTCTTCAGTGGTCTCTCCACGTTTATTATAATGGCTTGTATGGATGACCAATATTGTGATTTACTAATCTGAAACATACATAAGTCTTTTTGCCAAGACAGTAAAACTAAGATAAAATGGACTTGTCCACAAAAGCTCATGTCAAAAATGTAGAAGTTAGTCTTTAAGGTGACATACCACTTATGTCTTATTTTTAATTTTAATTTTGTTTTTGTCTGATACGCTAATACAGACATAGCTACCTCTTCTAAAATGTCTAGGATGTGTGCTTATTTGCTATTCAATCCTGAAAATTTTTGCTCATATTCAATCCTGAAAATTTCTACGTTATGACAATGTAGTAACAAGAGTCCTACTTAGGAGTTAAAAGAGTTAATCTAAATGTGAGGAGAGGTTGTGTTTTTGTCTTCTTTATAATTGCTCCAGTAATTAAAAAAAGCATGTGTTACACATGCAAGGAAACCGCAAGTATATCCTTTTTGCTCTCTAGCTATTGTTGAGATATTAAATGTATTTTTGGAGCTTCAAGACATTACTTACCTCTGGATCATTTATCAAGAGCTGATAAACCTTGACTCTGTATTCCCCCTTCTTCAGTGCTCTCCCAAGCCTAATTGTTATCTTTAAAATGGGGGAGAAAAGAAGCAAGATTAAAAAAACAAACAAACCAGAACCTAAGACTCTTATCTTCAACAAAAAATATTGTCAATATAACAGAACCCCAACAAGTGAAGTGTCTATATACTTTTGTGTCTGTGACAATACAAACAGAAACACTGTACTGTTTAATTTGCATTAACAAACTTGGGAGGTGGGGCGAGGAACTTTAAGGTGACATACCACTTATGTCTTATTTTTAATTTTAATTTTGTTTTTGTCTGATACGCTAATACAGACATAGCTACCTCTTCTAAAATGTCTAGGATGTGTGCTTATTTGCTATTCAATCCTGAAAATTTTTGCTCATATTCAATCCTGAAAATTTCTACGTTATGACAATGTAGTAACAAGAGTCCTACTTAGGAGTTAAAAGAGTTAATCTAAATGTGAGGAGAGGTTGCTGTTTTTGTCCGTTTATGGAGAGTAACAACCTTATACATATGTATAGAATTCCAACTGTATAGCAAAGCTAAAGGAAACTCCAGACTTTCACTTTCCAAATGCAGAGAATGAAGAGCTCATTTTCAGGAGGAGGTTGCTGCACCTGCTCCTGACACATTCCCACACTTGAAAATACTTTAATTATTTTATATTTTAAATACACATATCCCACTACGATTAATTTACGTTGGGGGAAAGTACTATATTAACTGGCCCTTAATTGCTCCAGTAATTAAGAAAAGCATGTGTTACACATGTCAGGAAACCGGAAGTATATCCTTTTTGCTCTCTAGCTATTGTTGAGATATTAAATGTATACATTACTTACCTCTGGATCATTTATCAAGAGCTGATAAACCTTGACTCTGTATTCCCCCTTCTTCAGTGCTCTCCCAAGCCTAATTGTTATCTTTAAAATGGGGGAGAATAGAAGCAAGATTAAAAAAACAAACCAGAACCTAAGACTCTTATCTTCAACAAAAAATATTGTCAATATAACAGAACCCCAACAAGTGAAGTGTCTATATACTTTTGTGTCTGTGACAATACAAACAGAAACACTGTACTGTTTAATTTGCATTAACAAACTTGGGAGGTGGGGCGAGGAAGCCTTCATTGACAGGGTCTCTCCCCAAAGTTCTGGGAGCAGGAATTCCGGACAATTCTGTGCCTTTTTGCAAAACAAAATTCTGGAATGAATTTCACTGAGCACCTCAACATTAAAACTCTGCAAGATACAGATGTGGTGTTCCAGAGAAAGGTAAATTTCACTTGTGTAACAAGCTTCCCTGGCTCTCTGCATCCATATGAATGGAGGGGTAGTCATGTACAAAAATGGACATAACCATATTCCAATCTATTCCACTGACTATAACAAAGAAAAGTAACCACATTTTTCCTTTAAAGAAGGCTGAACAAGTTAGAAGCACGGTATGCTTTACATACAGTCATGGCCAAAAATATTGGCACCCTTGCAATTCTATCAGAAAATGCAACCAACCCTTCTCTCAGAAAACTGTTGCAGTTGCAAATGTTTTGGTACTCACGTGTTCATTTCTTTCGTTTGCGTTAGAACAACACACACACACACACAAAAAAAAACCCAGAAGAAAAGTCAAATCTGATACAATCCCACACAGAAACCCAAAAATGCACTGGCCAAAATTATGAGCACCGTCTAAATTGTAAGAAATAATTGTTTTCGAACATGTGATGCTTCTTTAATTTGTATTTCGACACACCTGTTGTAAGCAAGAGGGGTGGGCAATACAATAAGCTGGAGAAACGTTGACTCAACCTTTGTGTTGTGTGTGAAACTGAGCATGGAGAAAAGAATGAAGTGTAAAGAGTTGTCTGTGAATTTGAGAGAAAAATTGTGGAAAAACATCGATAATCTCAAGGCTACAAGTCCATATCCAGAGATCTTAATGTTCCTATGTCCATTGTGCACAATGTCATCAAGAGGTTTACAGCCCATAGCACTGTAAACCTCCCTGGATGTGGACGGAAGAGCAAGATTACTGAAAAATTACAACGAAGGATTGTTCGAATGCTGGATACAGAACCCAGATTAACTTCCAAACAAATTCAAGCTGATCTGCAGACACAGTTACGACAGTGTCAGCTCGCACTATCCATCACCATCTGAATGAAAAGGGAAGGAGACCCAGGACGACACCACTGCTGACACAAAGGCATAAAAAAGCAAGACTGGAGTATGCCAAAACTTATATGACAAAACCACAATCCTTCTGGGAGAATGTACTGTGGACAGATGAGACAAAAGTAGAGCTTTTTAGTAAAGGACATCATGACACTGCTTACAGAAAAAGAAATGAGACATTCAAAGAAAAGAACACAGTCCCTACAGTCAAACGTGGTGGAGGTTCAAAGATGTTTTGGGGTTGCTTTGCTGCTTCTGGCACTGGATGCCTTGACTGTGTGAAAGGTATCATGAAATCTGATGATTACCAAAGGATTGTGGGGCGCAACATAGTGGCCAGTGTCAGAAAGCTGCATCTCCACCAGAGGTCATGGGTCGTCCAATAGGACAATGACCTGAAACACACTTCAAAAAGCACTTAGAAGCACTTGTTACAAACAAAGCACTGGAGAGTTCTGAAATGGCCAGCAATGAGTCCAGATCTGAATCCCATAGAACACCTGTGGAGAGATCTCAAAACAGCAGTTGGGAGAAGGCATCCTTCAAATCTGAAAGCCCTGGTTCTGTTTGCAAAAGAAGAGTGGTCCAAAATTCCAGTAGAGAGGTGTAAGAAACTCATTCATGGTTACAGGAAGCAATTGATTTCAGTTGTTTTTTTTCCAAAGGGAGTGCTACCAAATATTAAGTTAAGGGTGCAAATAACTTTGGCCAGTGCATTTTTGGGTTTCTGTGCGGGACTGTATCAGATTTGACTTTTCTTCTCTGTTTTTCTGTGTTGTTCCAATGCAAACCAAAGAAATGAACATGTGAGTACCAAAACATTTGCAACTGTAACAATTTTCTGAGAGAAGGGTTGCATTTTCTGACAGAATTGCAGGGGTGCCAATATTTTTCCCATGACTGTATACTACACACCAGGCTTGGATATGGAACTTTTTAAGATGACCTATCTAGCTCTCCTAGGACTATATGAGAACTGTATGTCCTGCATAGTATGTGAAGAAAATCCTACATTCTCTGTCTTATTGACTGAAATTCTGTTGCCTGATGTACTAAAATGCACTAGAGTAGGTCACTGAATCAGTAGGCATTTGGTGAATCAACTCTGTAAGTTCCATTCATTCAAACAGACCTACTTTAGTTGCAACTTACTTTAGTTTAATAAGCCAAGCCACAACTAGAGCATGCTCATTTGAATAAACTGAGCTTATAGAGGAGCAGACTCATCAAAACCTCAATGATTCAATGGATCCACTGCAATGTGCTATCTAAGTACAGAATTATAGAATCATGTGAAAGGGGCCTATAAGGCCATCGAGTCCAACACCCTGATCAATGCAGGAAAACAAATCAAAGGATACAAGTAAAAGGATTTTAACCATTAAATACTTTTCAACATTCAGCAGGACATTCTGCTAACCTTATTGTCATCTGAAAAGGATGAAAGGGTCTCATTTAGCCGAACACTCTCAAACTCTTGATTGCTGGCATAAACGCGAAAGACCTTAAATTGAGAGGATGAGACTCCAACAAATGGCTCCAAGTGTTGTTTGAAGGAAGCAAGCGTAATTCTTTTATCCACATGAACCAACAACCCTAAGCCAAAACAGAGAAGGAAGGAAAGAAAAGTCAAACATATCCAAGCTCTCCATGTTGGATGTATATTTGCCTATATTTTTCTTGTAATCAAGCACTCACCTGTTTGATTACAAGTTACAGCAGTTGACAAAAAAAGCCTTTAGATACTCTCTGCTGCCACAGAAATGGAGATCACACCCATGCTGCCCTCAGTTTACAAACAGCTGCACTAAGATAACTGCACATGTAACTCTAATTCTTCCTTCTAGCCTTTAAAAGCGTTTTGGTGTATGCTTACATACGTCTAAAGACTTCTATCCACACCTTCTACAGTTATGTGTCACAGAGGCAGTATACTTAGCTTTGTCTTTTCTGCAGGGCAAGTATAAAAAGCCTGTCTTAATATTCATGCAGTAATTTACTAGAATACACTGATCCTATTTTAAAAAGAGATTATTACTGTGTGTAAAAGGTGAGCCATTTTCACACTGGGAACCCAGCTGGAGGGAACAGAGAGTCAAACGAAGCTGGTGTCTCTGACTCCAAAGGGGGGAGGGTTTAACGTAATAGGAGGGGTTCATTCTTTTGTCTGTTGGTGTTTGATGATGTAAGTTGTGTGTTTGTAGTGTATTAATTCAATAAAATGTTTATTTAAAAAAAGGTAAGCCATTTTCATATGTCTCGCATGGTGTATCTGGAATTATGTTAAAAATTAAGTCTCCAGTGGCATGCACAACTGATTGCATTCATCTTTTGTCTCATTAAGGTTACAATAAGCTGAAATGTCTTGGACTACTGGTATTCTAAATCTACAGCGTATTTCCTACAGTCTAAATCAAAAGGCACATTCAAATTACATATACATATAAAAAGAGGACTCTGGTTGAGACATTAGTAATTGTCATTAAAAGTAAGGGCTTTGAAGAGAAGATATACAGTCGTGCCCCGCTTAATGATTACCCTGTATAACGACGAATCTGCTTCACGATGATGTTTTTGCGATCGCAAAACGATGTTTTAATGGTTTTTTTCCACTTTGCGACGATCGGTTCCCTGCTTCGGGAACCGATTCTTCGCATTACGACAATCAAAACAGCTGATTGTGGGGGTTTCAAAATGGCCACTGGTTGCTCAAAATGGCTCCCTGCTGTGTTTTTGGATGGATTCCTCGCTCTACAGGCACCGAAAATGTCCGCCCTTATGGAGGATCTTCACTGGACAGTGAGTTTTTCAGCCCATTGGAACGCATTGAACGGTTTTCAATGTGTTTCAATGGGCTTTTTTATTTCGCTTTATGACATTTTCACTCTACAGTTCACCAAATGTCTTGATTTCCAAGGAATGTTTCAAATACACAGTGGCTTGGTCATCTATGGATTATTATCTACGAATGGCATGCAAGTATCTTTCCAGAGAATGCAAAGGATTCCTAAAACTTCCCATTGAGATCTTGGATGGTAAACAATTATTTCTACTATAAATATAATGTGTTTTCAAAAGAGTAGTATAACCCATTTCTCTCTTTTTAAGTTTTCTAAAATATTACAAAGCATTTTGCCTTATTGTGTACATAAACTGTTCCTGTGTTTGCATGTATAGCTGGACAGGTTTTGTTGAAAGACATGCAAATACAAATAAAAATGAACATCTCTAAATTCAAGTTGTTTGCCTTCATATATGTAGGTTTCCATCATACATACATTTTTGTCCCTCTCCTGAACCTTCTTCTGCAATGTAGGGCTCTGCTTTGAAGTACATATACTGTGATTCTCCCCTGCTCTTCCCACTTTCATCGTATTCACTGTCAGTTCCAGAATCCTCTTCAGCTGTGTCCCACGTTTCCTTTTTCCCTTCATTGGCTTTAGATCGCCTGCTACTGGTTATGCTGTGCGAATCAAGTCCATTAGCCAATGGCATAGGCGTATTGTCTACATTGCACAACGTGTCACTGCTGTGGCTGGAACTGAGAATATCACTGTCCACTGAACTTGTACTTCTGTCATTATTCATATCAGAATCTGACCGCTCCTCTGACTGGAAATTATCTGGATCAGAAACCTGAACTGGATGTTCAAGTTCTCGATTTTCTGCTGATGCAGATGAATCTACCTCATTGGAAGGTGATTCAATGGTCTCAAAATCGCTTGCCTCTGTACTCCTGCTGCTGTCTCCATTATCCCCCTCTTGCTGCTGCTGCTGCAGAGACAAGGTTTTGAGTTTTTCAGTACTTTCTTCTAAAATAGCTTCCACTGATTTTATGTTACTTGAAGGTTCTTTTATTCTTTCACAAATTTCATCTAAGTTGGCAGAATCTCCACTGGCTTTTTGAAAAATTGTTTTTCTGAACTGTGATCCAGGAGATTGTTCTGGTAAGGAAATATACAGCTTGATTGTATTTGCATGGCGATCCAGGAGCCTCCATAATTGTGAATCTGTAAATACCAGCTGTCGATCCTGTGACTCTGAACTTTCAACAAATACCTAAAATATAAAGGCACTTACTTCAATAAATTATCTAAAACAATCAGACACAAAACTATAAACAGAGCTATCTGTTAATTGTGGTATTTTCAGACAATGTATTTATGATCATGGCCTTAACAGTGCATACATGACCTTAATACTGCTTATATTCAAAGAACAGTTATTTGCTAGAAATAGCTCAGTTTTACTACTTTGTTTCTGTAAATAATTTGAGACAAAGATTTTTCTTAAATGTGTTGAGATCTGGTGGATTTTCAAAAAATGTTTTCAATACATATTAGCACTGACATTTCAAAAAATAAATAGAAAAGCAGAAACATCTTACTTTATTGCTCCTAAAAAAGCCTTCAGCTTTAAGTGTTTTGTTGGCCACACTGAGAAGACGTAAGTCATTGTAGCAGCGTTCCAGAACAACTCGCATTGTTTCTGCAGGCAAATGTACAGCCTGCAGTGACAGAAAGAAATAAGAGCGATAGTAATTATTTTCCTGTCTTTATTGTATTGGTTAGAATTTTACAGGACTCATGAGCAACCACCCAGAGAAGAAGAAAAAGATATCATGGGACAGCAAATGAGTCATACATAGCATGACTAATGTAGGAAAATACTATCAATTTACCTTTGAAACTAGATGCTTGAACTCTGTAACTGTCTGGTTCAAATAAGCACGAACACTAATAGGAGGAGCCACGTTTTCTTGCTTTAGGTCGACAACATGAACTTTTACCATGACTTCTGTTATAATAAGACAAATATTATACATGAAAATCACTTAAACAAAAAGAATTGGGGCATTATCTAAAGATCCAGTGAAAATTTGTAAAATGATTTAAATACTCTAATACAGAATTCTCTTAAGCATGAATATTAAAGTTATTTCTATTTCCCATCATAAGCAGAGCAATTTTGTAACTTATCACTTACCACCAGGTTTATAGCACTGGAAAGCCTGATCGGGCCGTCGTGTTTCTAGAAGGAGATCAAACATGTAGGTTGATTTAACACCTCCAAGCAGGATTCCCATTGGAGTATCCTCTTCTCCTTCATACGATCTCTCCAAATAATCATGGAACTCATCATACTTAACAAGACGACAGCAGTCTAAAGGAACTGCTTCTTCTAAATCCATGATCTAAAACCAATACAAAAACAAAGAATTATTCAAATGATTCTGCCCAGACAAACATTCAGTTGATATTGAAGGAAAGGATACCATTATTTCAAGTTCTGCAATTTAAGCATTTCTTAGGTTTCCTTACTAAAGAAAATAATATTAAAGAAATATTTAAAACATACAGCAGTGTTAAATAGTCTAAATGTAGCGTGGTGACATTCCATACAAACCCCTCCAATTCCAATGCTTTGGCACAGCTATAATTGCAAGGTTGCCCTTGTTTAAGATCTCTGTTACTTCCCAAGTGTAAAAGGCAGCTGAGGTAGTATCTTAAATTACAAAGCATTTGCTTATAACACTTTGTCACAATTTGTCTTAAAGAGGAAGATGATAGTAAGAAAATTCCATGACTTGCAGCAAAAAGTCCACCTTGCACATGTGGAATAATCTCTATGAGCACATAGGTCGCATCACCAAGTTTCTCCCTCCTATCTACTCAGTATGGTGCTATTACAGATATATTTCTCACTTGTCATTTTTCCTTTTAAGAAGAGAGAAGATGCAAGAGACAGGGCCAATGTCCATTCACTGTGAACATATAGACCACCACCTGCAGCCCTTAGGATCCCAGCAAATTTATCAATTACCATTGAACTATATCAGGCTAGCACAGACAAATATGGCTACCTCTTCTAAAACACCCAGAAGTATGTAATGTAAAGCATACACATTATACTTTACCTTATAAGCTATCTCTACAGCTTCCTTCAGAGTCTTGTCCTTGTGAACTTCCAGTTTATTCTCCAGCATTATTTGTTTCACAGGATGCATACAAAATAATTTTATCTATTTAGCCATTAATAAAAAGGAGAGAGAAAAAGTCAAAGAACAGACTTTCAGCTATGTTTGATGGTTCTGATCTAGTAAAGGCTTTACACCAGGATAGATGATATCAGCAGGGCCAAGGGCCAGCAGCCTAAAGGCCACACTTCAAAAAGAGGTGGCTATAGGAAGGATGTGGCCAAAATGGCTTTTTAAAAAGCTTCCTTGTGCTTTCTTGTGGACAAACAGTATTAATTTTTAGAAGATTATGGGAGTCCAAGATGTGCTGGCAAAATGCCCTCATGCCCCTAGAAATCATAAGGGGACATTTTGAGTAACACCCCCCCGGCCACAAAAACTTAAAATACATTTTTTTGGTGGGTGAGGGCTATAGGGATCACAAAAGTGGCCCTTGGGGCTCCATGTGGCCCTTGGGATCCATGTTGCCCACTAATTTTACATAATAAATAGAAGGTAAAATTGAGTTTATAGATATGTAATGTTTTAAACATGATTAATTATACAGTGGTGCCTTCCTTAGCGATTGCCTCATTTAACTATGTATTTGCTTAACAATGAGGTTTTAGGAGCGATCTTGCGCTTCGTTTAGCGATGTTTCCAATGGGGAAATTTTGCATAGTGATGTTCGGGACCATGCCTCGCATAGCGATGACAGTTTGGCTCCCCCTGTTTCGCTTAGGGATGTCCGTTTTCACTATTTTTAAAGTGTCCTAAAATGTTCAAAAACTGTTTAAAATGCTTGGAATTGTTAGTGCACCTTGTAAAACCTTTGAGCCTCTTCAGAATCAGTGGTTAGTGCATAAACTTAGATTACTATAATGTTGAAAGGTCTGCCTTGGATTCTTATTGAAATCATTCTACTAATTTTGAGATTGTATCCCAATACAGCTTTTCCCACTGTTTTGTTGACTATGAGGGCTACTACTTCTTCTATGGGTTTCTTGCCCACAATAGTAGATATGATAATCATCTGAGTTGAATTCGCCCATTCCCGTCCATTTTTACTGACGCCTAGTATGTCAGTGTTTCTTCTTGCTATCTCCTGTTTGACCACATCCAGCTTCCCAAGGTTCATTGATCTTACATTCCAGGTTCCTATGCATTATTTTTCTTTGCTGCATCGAACTTCCCTTTCACTTCCAGGCATGTCTGCAGCTGAACGTCCTTTCAGCTTTGGCCCAACTACTTCATTAGCTCTGGAGCTAATTGTCCTTGTCCTCTGCTCTTTCGCAATACCATGTTGGATGTCTTCCAACCTGAGGGGCTCATCTTCCAGTGTTATATATTTTAGCCTTTTATTTCTGTCCATGGAGTTTTCTTGGCAAAGATACTTTAGTGGCTTGCCAGTTCCTCCACGTGGATCGCATTTCGTCAGAACTCTCCACTATGACCTGTCCATCTTGGGTGTCCCTGCACGGCATAGCCCATAACTTCTCTGAATTACTCAAGCCCCTTCGCCATGCCAAGGCAGGAAGCTGTGAAGGGATTGGGCCACTATCAAATTAGACAGTCACTGAAATCTTGGATCTACCATAATTGGGCAAAAATGACGCCCTAGAAATCTACATTTCACTAATAATTCAGTAGCACAATGGCAAGTAAAAATATGCAGGTAATTCAAATGCAAATTATTTCTGATTTAACAAATCTGCACAAATCAATTATACCTGTTTTGTATAAATAAATAATATACAATCCATTAAAACATCTCATTTTATTCTAAGCAAGAATGAAATATACAGATACAAACCTTGCAGGTATTGCGCTCTATTTCACGCTGCCTCTTTTCTTGTTCTTCTAACTCCTTTTCTTTTTCTACCAGTCTCTTAATATGCTCAGGATATTCATCCACTTCTAGGAACTCTATCATAGGAATAAGCAATAAGAAAAATATGGACTAAACTGTGCTGTGCATTTGTTTGTTAATTTATGATCTTATCTTCCTTTACAGAAAGCACAGAGGATCTTTATATGATTCTCATGTAGTCTCTTATTTGGACAGCATTTAAATCATATATCTCATTAATTTCAATAGCACAGTTGCATTTTGTGCCTAGAATATCTCTAGGCTTACAGCAGAGAGATCTTCCCTTTACATGCACTATGTATAGTTAGGAGACAGCTGTGTTAGTATGCTTCAGCATATACAATAAAACAATTGTGGAACCTTTAAAACTCTGTTTCAAATATGTCCAGTTACTGTGATCTGTCATTATTTTTTTAAAAGATAAAATCACAAAGATGTTATGTTTGACACAAATCTTACAAGTATTTGTTATAACTGAACACCGCATATATACTGTAGTTTTTAAATAGCTAGCTCTGTTAACAGTATCTAAGGAAGTTAATGAACAACTGCACCAATTTTAAAAAATATTTGCCCTTTCATTAAAAGAAAGGAAAATTACTATTATTTCATTTACAAAATTGTATTTTTACCATGTTGTATTTTAACAGCTTCATTTACTTATGAATGATAAAAACACACACTTACTTGCATTTCTTGTTGCATCCTTCAATCTGTATATGAGCATATATGCATTTGTAGAGCTATTGGAGAAATTATTATTTTGAAAAGAGTCAGGATCTATATATGAATAGCAAAATAGAATATTCCTGCCTACAATATCCAAACTAAACTATATCTTCTTAAGGCCATATTTCCAAAAGATCTGCAACTGCCAGTAATGCAGGAGTATTTAAATGAAACCAAGCCAGAAACTGGGCAGGGATGAACTCATCTGGACAGCACATAAGTGTACATACAAACTGAGGAGCCATTTGTCCATAATTCTCAAAATAATAATATTCATTCAGTTAATGCAGGGATGAACTCATCTGAAGAGCACATAAGTGTACATACAAACTCTTACTGAGGAGCCATTTGTCCATAATTCTCAAAATAATAATATTCATTCAGTTAAAAAGGCAATTACCTGGAGTACATATTACAATGTATTCAATAATCTCCTAACCTTGCAAAAGCACTGGAATAATACCCTCTGCTTCCAGATGTTCCACCATAAGTTTTCTTGATATCTTCACGAGTGATCTGATTTGAAAATTCAGAAAACACAAATACATTTACCAAATTAATTATTTCACTTTCATTTATCATACCCCTACGCATTATAGAGGAAATCTCAGAAACAAAGGGTGATCATACATTAAATTATGTTTCTATTTACAGAAATTTTTTTTACTTATGAATCTATATGTGGAGGCAAACTACTCATCTTATACAACCAAACAGACTACCAGATCTAGTTACTTCCTTCCCTACAGGGGAGACCACTGTAGGGGTACACACAGTTGTATAAGCACCAATATAATGGCCAAAATCCTACCAGTGACGTATGCCAAGAGAAGTGCAATGCCATACATAGCAGCAGTGAATTGCTGTTAGTTAAGGAGTTGACACTTGTACTCCTACTTGTAAAGTGCCAGTCATGTGATTTGCATGCAATGAAGAATGTCAGTGTCAATTCCTTAAACAGCAGCAATTTGCTACACCAATTTACACCACTGCACTTACATAAATGTGTATCAGTAATAGACTAGTGGTGCTTGCTTAGATAGGAGTGGAATATTACCCTCATAGAGAATAAGCAGTGCCTCAACAAACTATTGCATTGCTAATTGTTCATATTCATAGTTCCAGCTAGCCAGCCATACTTTTTTCGAGGACACTCAATTCCCCTCTTTCCCAGGTTTTCTAAAAATGCCCAATGCACATGTTCACTTCTCCTTGGGCTGTTCCAGATCCCCTCCGTCATTTTTTCTGTAAAACTGTGGGGTTCCTCCTGGCATGCTCCTACCACCATCTTGTTTTTGGGTGGTGTCATATTTAAGTAAACCAAGCTATTCAATGTCTGTCCTACTGTTATACCTAACATGCAACTTACCTTGCTAACATGTTGATCATTGAAACTGTACCACTGGTCATCGCTAAAAGATTTAATGCACGCATAGTAATGTCCACCAGCTGCACTTCCCGAATGGACCATAACAGAAAATAGTTCATATAATAATGAATTCTGTGAAATGGGGGAAATAAACCAATATACTGCTCAGAAAAGCTTATGGTTGACATATCCATATCATTTTTCACAGCTATAAAGTAAAAAAATGTTGAACTGTTGTGAAACATTGTTGATCATGATGTCCAGATTTAGAAGCAGGTTTCATGACTGCTGCAATGATACACTGCACAATGAATATTAACATTTAGAATTTAATCCTTCATAGCTATCCCACAATGAAGCAGCTGCCTTTGTCAAATCAGAAAGTCTGATATCTGAACAACTTCCTAAGAGCCTTATAGACCTTGAAAAGCTCTAGGAAAAATCAGAGGCCCATGTTCATCACAGCTGGCATTTATTCCAGAAAGGGTGAATGAGATAACCATTTCTAATCGTATCAAAATTCATCTGGGAATTAAGGTAAAATAAGCAGCAACATCAGCTTGTCTATTTCTACAAACTTTATTATCAAAATTCATCTGGGAAATAAGCAGCAACATCAGCTTGTCTACTTCTACAAACTTTATTTATCCACATTGTTTCTAGGTTCCATATGCACAAAATAAAATTGAAAAGATTGAAAACATGTAGCTTTTTGACAGGTTACTAGCATATTTCTGTTGGACAGAAATCAGACTTACAGCTATGGAAAAACTGTAGGCACAAATGCTTAAAAATATGAAAAAAGAAAACATAAGTTGCAGGCAAATATTTAAGTCAGATTTCAATCCAAAATGCAGGTGCATTAAAATATCAAAAAGAATGTTTTAATTACGTTCTAAAAACACAGAAGCTTACAGCCTTAAAAAGACACACTGAAAAAGCAGAGAATAAAACTCTAAAATACATCATTAAAAAGTAAAAAGCATTACAGCTTTAAGCAATGTTTAGGCTTTAGGTATATTTCTGGGCACACAAGACAAATATTCAAAGTACTAAACTTGCCACGCCAGTTTGATTCTATGGAGTGATTAATCTTTATTGTGGTCAATGACCAGCAAATGTATTCAAATATTAGTATAACACGAAAATACAATGAAAATTGTATTATAAACCTACTGCAGTATGATTAAATTGCATAGAATCTCCATAGTTTCACAGGACTGAGGAGATCAGTAAATAAATTCAGTAAACTTTGTACGCCTCCAATCTTATCATCCTAAGTAGTGTGGCATATAAAGTATATGGTGGCCAGTACATACCATTACTAAACATCTGAGATTGCTTGAATCAGTGCAAGGAGGTAGCAGCGACACTTCTATGGAGCAAAATCCATGATTTCTTTGCTGCTGCTGCTGCTACTACTACAGTTGTGCCTTGCTTAACGGGCACCCCGTTTAATGACGAAATTGTATAGCGATGAAGATTTTGCGATCGCTTTGCAATGGTCTGAATGGGGTTTTTTCGCTTTGCGATGATCTGTTCCCAGTTTTGCTTACCGATCATCACAAAGCGACGATTTTAAAACAGCTGATCGGCGGTTCCAAAATGGCCACTGGGTAAAAAAATGGCCGCCCGCTGTGTTTAGGGACGGATTCCTCACTTACCGGGCAGCGAAAATGGCCGCTGTATGGAGGATCTTCGCTTAAAGGTCAGTTTTAAGCCCATAGGAGCACATTGAAGGGGTTTCAATGCATCCCTATGGGCTTTTTAAAATCACATAGCAGCGATTTTTACTGCACCAATTAACGTCGCTATGTGAGGCACCACTGTACTACTGTTTCTTCTACATGAAATCTGATGCTGCTTGGTATCTGTGTTGTTGGTATCCAGTGTGTGTGACATGCCACGTGCTGTGTCTGTGTCTCTTGCTTCCATATATTTATATTTTTTTCAGATGTTTCATTTTCTTTCAATTGTAAGCAACTGAATTTTGCCCATGTAGTACACTGCTGATCAGACAATGTACATAGTCAGAAAATTTTCAATAGAAACTTCTGTTGCTTTTACTAAGGTAGCAAACATGTAACGGAGCAATTAAGTTGACCCTGCGCCCTTGCGAAAATAGCTAATTGGTCCTACAGTAATTTATTTTGGTACTGTTTTACCAGGTAGGCGAAATGTTACGTGTGTGTGTGTATAGCGTTGGTAAACTAACTGATCAGGTACTAATTTACTCTATCTGCATTTTAAAACTCTGACTTTTTTTCTCAACTCTTTTGTATTTCCTTTCCAATTTCTTACAATCTGTTTACATTCACAATCAGGTGTTAGGTATGAAATAGGTTATTTTTGCAAAGCAATGTTGTTTTACATTGACCTTTTGTGGGTCAAAGGAACAAAGAACAAAGGAAGGCTAATTGCCTTAGAGAGAGTACAAAAGGGTCGACAATATGTATGTCACAGCCAGCGATGTCTATAGGCAATGCCCTGAGAGCTCCCTTTATTGACTTAGCATGAGTTACATAGTATGTTGTGAGAATTCAGAATGGATACTAGTTCCCTAATCACCACTAGCACTGGCTGAAGAACTCTTTGATCTAATGCTCTACCTCTAAGTGAAAGGGCAGAATGAGGGGCTACCCCGCCCGCTGGAAGCTGCTGCTCTCTGCCAGGAGTGTATGCTCGTCACTGGAACAAAATGCAGCTACAACCTTCAGGCAGAGGTTTCCCACAACCTTGCCTTCAAACTTAGCTGGAGAACATGCTGTTTCACAGTGACTTTAATAAACTCCTGTTCAAACTTCATTTTTAAAGCACAATGTATACATTCACAGTTGCATTTTTTAAACAGTACCCTTAATTACCTTAAAACTCCAAGCATTCAAAACTGAAACCTTAATAATTTTGCCAGGATATTAAGCACATCCTGAGCATTTGCAAGTATACCTCAGGAAACAGTTTCCCGAAAGTAGTTAGAATTTTTCAAGAAACTCTCCTCCAAAATGGCCACAATATCTTTGGTCCTATATTAAGTTGCATTGGAATGTGGTATTCAAACTGAAGACAGTTCACAAATCATTTACTGTTTTTCACTCAAAGCAGCCCAGAACTTCTGGACCAAAACATACAGGGACAAGATATAACTTCTTTGTCAGCAACTAGTTTTAAAATTGAGGCATGTCCTTTCCCATGATATTCTGAAAATGTTTAGCTTTGATATCTGTTTTCACTTATCCTTCTGCCTCTTACTATAGGAAATAATTGGAGACAATTTTAGAGGCTAAGAAAGAGTTTCCTACATGTTAAACTGGCTAGTGACTTTGGCGTCCTTGTATTACACAAGTTATGTCTTGCCTTCTGCTCAAGTCCCCACAACTGTTACTAGATCATAATTTGTTTTCCTGATTTTTACCTAAGTTATATTTAATTAACTTTAAGTTGTCATTGCCTTGAAGTTGTCTCTTAAACTCTTTCAGTTTCTGTTAGCCAAATTTTACACCGTAAAGCTTTTACAATAATGTGGAATCGTATTTTGTTCACTGATAGCATAAGAGAACAGTATCAGTCCTTAATTTTAAAACATAATACTAGTGGAGTAAATCTGTAATTATTTCCTCTTTCAAAAACTAATCAGCCATACAACTTTTTTTAAAAAGTACCTTTTCACTGGCAACTTTAGAAATCTTTTCAGCAGTACTATTGTTTTCAAGACAGATTCCTTCATCAACTCCATCATCATTTGAGAAGTCGTTGCTCATCTGATCGCTGTGACAACTGCCTTCATTCTCTGCTCCACTGTCAGTGCAACTCTCTGTTTGAGGAGACTTCTTAAAACAAGCAGAAAAACTAGTTTTGAAAATATTCAGAATTGCTCCATCGATTAGAATACTACCAATATTTAATATAGAATGAATATACTGTATAGTGCAGTGGTTCTTAACCTTTGTTACTCGGATGTTTTTGAACTGCAACTCCCAGAAACCCCAGCCAGCACAGTTGGTGGTGAAGGCTTCTGGGAGTTGCAGTCCAAAACTCCTGAGTAACCCAAGGCTAACAACCAGTGGTATATAGTGCATGTATCATGAACCACTTGTTAAAATTCCTAGTTTTCTAACAGAATTCTAAAAGACCAATCCTGTTCTTGTTCTCCTGGGATTCAAGGGTCCTATCTCCAAATCTGCTTTCATTTAAGAAGAGGCATTTTGATGTAAAATGCAAGGGGGCCATTTCAAGGAGTGGAAAGTTTGGTTTTTCTCTCTGTTCCTTGTTCCTACATAGGAGAATAAGAAAGGGGACAGGCCTACATATAGACTTATGGGAACACAGGTTGCATGAGAGCCATGCCTGCACTCTGACTAGATCAAACCCTATGTTGTCCATTAGAATGAAACATTTTAAATTTCCGTTCAAACATCTAAACAGCACTTAAATGAAAAGATGCAAGGCTACATCTTAATAGGGCAAATTTATTGGAAAGGGAGGGAAAAAGTAAGCAGAAAGAGAGGAGGAGCTTTATACGTAAAGAAGTCATATCCCTGTGATAAGATTCTAGACTTGGAACATGGAAAGTTGGAGTAAAACACCAGGATAAACATCAAAGTAGAGGAAACAACAGTGACATTGGGGTGGCAGTTCTGCTACAAACCTCCAATCCAAACTGAATCCTAGGTCAAATTACCAAACATTCCCAGAGGCCATATCAATTGGAAGTCCAACTTGCCAAGAAGGTAAGGTCCAACAAATTCCTCATATGCAGAAAGTAGAAGCAGCAAAAAAGGGATTAGCTATCTTGGACATGGTCCTCACTAATAGGGAAGAGCTGGTGAACAAGGAAAAATTGTGGGAATTTGGTCTTCCCCTTTGGACTGGTTACACTGACTAAAGGAGGCTTGTGTTCAACAATGCATGCTCTGGATTTAAGATGGCTGATAAGGTTAAAGGAATATCTGCTGAGATTCCATAGTCAGAAATACAGTGGTGCCTCGCAAGATTCCATAGTCAGAAATACTGATAGAGAAGGAAGTTCACAATGAATGGGCTATTCTTAAAGTTGAGATACTGAAGATATAATCACAATTTCTACAAAGAAAAAAAGAAGGGAAAAATGTAGAGAAAGAAGATAGTTATATAAGAAACTTTCAGGTAAGCTAAGATTTGAAGGGTATAGAAAGGAGAGCCAAATTATTAAGGAAGAACAGAAAAAAGTAATCAGTATTTGTAGGAAGGCAAGGACAATTAAAACACAGAGTGAGTTCATGTTTGCAAGGAAGGTTAAAATACAACAACAAGAACAAAACCCCCACTTGTTTTAGCAATGCTTGGAACAACCCCACTTATTTTAACTATGCTTGGAACGAGAGGAAGGACATGGGAATGGGAGTTCTTTTGTGTAGAAAGGATGCAGAAATACTAATGGCGATAGAATGAAAGTGGATCTGCTGAACACCTATTTTGCTTTCATATTCTCCCAAAAGGGAAACACACTGTTTGGTTTAAAAGAAGACAACAAAGGAGATAGAGAGGTATTGCCTAAGGTAGATTAAGAGAGGGGGGAAACCTGACTGCTTTAAATGAATTCAAGTCACCAGGACTAGATGAACTGCACCCAAGGGTACTAAAGGAATCTGCAGATGTAATCTCAAGAGTTTGTTTATAATCATTGACAATCCTTGGAGAACAAGTGAAATCCCAGAACAACAGAGCAGGCAAATGTTGCCCCCATCTTCAAAAAAGAAAAAACAGGATGTGGGCAAGGTCAATATCAATATTAGGAAGGTTCTAGAAGAGATAATTACACTGTCTGTTTGCAAGTACTTAGTAGAAGACTCCCTGGAAAAGACCTTAATGTTGGGAAAGTGTGAAGGCAAAGGGAAGAAGGGGATGACAGAGGAGAAGAACAGAGCAGGCAAATGTTGTCCCCATCTTCAAAAAAGAAAAAACAGGATGTGGGCAAGGTCAATATCAATATTAGGAAGGTTCTAGAAGAGATAATTACACTGTCTGTTTGCAAGTACTTAGTAGAAGACTCCCTGGAAAAGACCTTAATGTTGGGAAAGTGTGAAGGCAAAGGGAAGAAGGGGATGACAGAGGACAAGATGGTTGGACATAACTTTGACCAAACTTCAAGAGGCAGTGGAAGACAGGAGGGTCTGGCATGCTTTAGTCAATGGAGTCATGAAGAGTCGAACACAACTTAACGACTAAACAACAACAAGTAGTCTGCTAAGATTACTAACAGCTAACATGAGTTTTTCAAAAATACTTCAAATTTTATATTTTTTCCCCCCGAAAAAGGTACAAATTTGGTAAATGAGTGGAGTGGCCTCAGGATTTTGTTCTGAGTTCAGTGTTTTTTAATATTTCATTAATTATTTGAATGAAGGAGGAGAGGGTATGCACACTGACTCCTCTGCTGGCATGAAATTTAGCCAGGTGATTTTAGCTAGCATTTCTAAAATCCAAATAAGGATTCAAGATAAATAACAAATCAGAGAATGGAATGAAAAGAAACACAATGACTGAAATTATTTTGAGTAACTACAGAGGCATAAATAGCAATGATGTCATCAGCCTGCAATGTTACACTTAATTTAAAGCTTTCTGCACCGCTTCAGATTCCAAGGTTTCCTAGGGATCCCTTTGGAGCTAGGAAAGCCTTGGGGAGCTTCAGACCAAAAAGAGGGCAGTCTTTAACACTGGAAAATCACCACCAGATTGCTGGCAATGGACTTGGGAAAGCCCTCAGTGATCCCCAGTATCAGAACTTGAATTGAGGTGGTAGATACAAAGCTTTAAATTAACTTAACTTAAATTAGAGTTATGTTGCACGCTGATCAGCAGTTATTAGTGACTTTGTACCAACTGTATTTTCACAATTGAGTAAACAGGGAAAAAGGTAAAAATATACATTGTGACAGCAAATAACAGATGCACAAATACAGGATAGGTAACACGATTTGGCAACACAATGTATGAAAAAGATCTAGGGTCTTAGTAGACCAAAATTAAATATGACTCAATACTGAGAAGATGCAGGGGGGGGGGCACACAAATAGAATACTAGGGCACCTCAACAGTAGTATCCAGATTAATTGAAGTAACAGCACCATCCCAATTTGCTTCAATCAGACCTCCCTTTTAATACTGTGTGTAGTAAAGGGCACCACAGCTTAAGAAAGACTACTGGCAAGATAGAATGTGTCCAGAAGACAATAACCAGATTGTAAAGTGTCTGAAAGCCAAACACTATGAGGAACATAGTGTTTGGCTTTCAGCCGGGTAGGTGGGGCTCGTCAGCCATGGAAGGCAGCCCATCTAGGAGAAAGAAAACTCTGATTTCAAACCTCCACTGCCCTGTGGCTATATCCACTCATGGAAACAGCTTCAGGAGTTAACCTAGAGGCAAAATCCGGAGCTGGAGTCCCGAAGGCAGATCGTGTTGTTCTGCCAACTCCTGTGACGTTGCTGGAACGAGTTGTATTGGCTCTTGCCTTTCCACTGGACCATTTCAGCAATGTGGAGCGGGGGGAATCTGCTGCTTGGGTAACAGCCTATCTTCCATATTACTTTATCCAGGCTTCATGCTCTGGAGAGGACACTCCTCGATACAGAGCACGTTACCATGGTCTCTCGAGACTGAACGATGCCTATGCTATGAGGAACAGTGAAAGGAGCTGAGTATCTTGGAGAAGAAAAGATTGGGGGGTGGGCAGGCTGTGCTATGATAGCTATTTTCAAATATCTGTAGGACCGAGAAAAAAATTTCTGTGGCTCGAAGGAGCAGGATCTGATTTAATGGATTCAAATTGCTGGAACAAATTCTCTTGACAGTTGGAGCCATTAAGCAATAGAATGGATAACCTCAAAAGGTGATGGACTCTCTTCCACTGAGTTTTAAACAGCAGATGGATCATCATATGCCAGGGAAGCTTTAGCTATGGATTTCTTGTTTCTGCATGTTGTTAGACTCAATTATACTTGAGGCTTGTTCCAGCTATACAATTCTACAGTTAAAGACATTTCATAGCTAGTATATGCACAAGCAGGAAGAAGGTTGATCAGGATTTGCTATTAGAACACTACAGAATTAACAGTAAACTGGCAAGGCTTTTCAATTCCCTATACTTCACAGTAACAAACAAACAAAGTCCCAGTTCGTGGTGTGTGTTTTATGAAAATATGGCATGCAGACACAGGTATACCATTTTTCAGTTCTAAGTGTAAGCATATACAGTACTCCGTAGTCATCCTTGGTCTAATCCATATTAGCATTCCTCAAAGATCTGATCTCCTTGCATAGCGATCGCTGTTTTACGATGAGGCATTCCTCAAAGATCTGATCTTCTGCAAAATGAAAAAATGTACAGTGGTGCCTTGCATAGCGATCGCTGTTTTACGATGAAATCGCTTTGCGATGGACTTTTTGCCATCACAAGAGCGATTGCTTTGCGATGGCCCCTATGGCGAAAATTCGCTTTGCGATGATCGCGGGGAAGCGCTTCCCCGCAATCATCCCAAAGGCCCCGCCGATCAGCTGTGCAAAAATAGGGCTTTTGAGATGACTACGGGGGAGCGCTTCCCCACGATCATCCCGAAGGCCCCGCCGATCAGCTGTGCTGCGAGGGGTGCAGAGAGCGAGAGCCGAAGCACAGCTGATTGGCGGGGGTTTGTGATGATCGCGGGGAAGCCATCATTGCAAACCCCGCCGATCAGCTGTGTTTCAGCGCTCTCTCTCTCTCCCCTCGCAGATCCAGCCCCGGTAGAGAGACTGAGCCGGCGCCACCACCCATTGCTTTGCGATGGCCCCTATGGGGAAAATTCGCTTTGCGATGATCGCAGGGAAGCGCTTCCCCGCAACCATCCCAAAGGCCCCGCCTATCAGCTGTGCAAAAATAGGGCCTTTGGGATGACTACGGGGGAGTGCTTCCCCACGATCATCCCGAAGGCCCCGCCGATCAGCTGTGCTGCGAGGGGTGGAGAGAGCGAGAGCCGAAGCACAGCACAGATTGGCGGGGGTTTGTGATGATTGCGGAGAAGCCATCATTGCAAACCCCGCCGATCAGCTGTGTTTCAGCGCTCTCTCTCTCTCCCCTCACAGATCCAGCCTCGGTAGAGAGACTGAGTCGGCGCCACCACCCTGGCCGAGAAAGACCCTCTGCAGGCAAAGAGGGGCTTTCTCGGCCAGGGTGGCAGCGGCGGTGCCTCAGTCTCCCTGCCGAGGCTGAAGCTGCGAGGGGGGGAGAGAGAGAGCCGAAGCACAGTCAAGGGGTGGAGAGAGAGCAAGCCGAAGCACAGCTGATCAGCGGGGGTTTGTGATGATCGCGGGGAAGTCATCATCGCAAACCCTCGCCGATCAGCTGTGCTTCGGCTCGCTCGCTCTCCCCTCGCAGCTCCAGCCTTGGCAGGGAGACTGAGGCGGCGGCGCCACCCTGGCCAAGAAAGGGTCCCAAAGGCTCCATTTTTCCACAGCTGATCAGCAGGGCCTTTGGGATGATCGCTGG